CATAATTCACAAATCGTTTGCATTTCTTGAGTTATTGGAAAAAGAGGTTTTTCTTGTTTTTAGTTTACATAAATTATTTGGTATTTATTTGTATTTAGCTCATTAATACTTCATGTAATTTCGTTATTATGATTTTGGCACAGATTGATCACTATAATTTGTCAAAGATCCTCTTTAGTAATAACCATTTTTAAATCTCTGTGGATGCTGTTTGAATTACGTTCAACGACTTTGAAGCGAGAATCGAACCAAGCTTGTCACCGGCTAAAAGTAAACTAAGTCAACTGGCGACACCTTAACAGGCCAAACCAATCGGGCCCGAAGTTCGCCGAAGAGTTCGGTTCGGTGGCGTATACGCAATATTCGGTAACAGCGAAAGAGAACACGATACTGTAAGCGAGAGTCTGCTGTTGCACAAATGCTTAAAGCCATAGACTGTTAACGTTGTCGTGTCTGTCAACGAAACAAATGCAATTACTCGGCTAAACTGCTCTATTGTTATTAGGCATGTTTTATGCATTGAGCAGTTAGGTAAATTACTCATTTGGATTTTATGTTAATTTCAGTCTGGGAATGCATAAAATCACAGTAAGACCGGCCTTATCCGGCGTTAAGCCATGCCAATTACCAGACATAGGGTTGGGTGGGCAAAGGAGGCTGCAATCATACCGACATTTATAGCAGCTTAACAGTGCGATAACATAATTCCTCATTAACGTCGAACCAAAGGCGCCTGCACAGTGCTCGAAAAAAGTGCTGGCCAAAAAGTGGGGGCAAAAACTAAGCGGATGAAAAGGATACGAACGAAAGTGGGACAGAAGCATCAGCCAGAGAAAACCGCATCTTGCCCGGATATCTATGGCATGGCGAAGTGCAAAGCACACGGATAGCCGGGGATATGGCGGGTTGGCAAAGAAAACAAAGGACCAAATTATAATGCAGACGAACGGGCCATAGATGTCGCCGCAAACTGCGAAGACATTCGCGACTTTGAAGGGTGGAGTCCGCTCTAGCAGAGGGCCACAAAAAGCGGAAGCTTTTGCATAAAATTCAATTTGTCGTGTGCAGCAGCCATGAATATGCCGAACTCCGGCTTAAAGCCGAACCTGATGATGTCTCTCCGGCGCCCACTCCACCCCCTGGCCGTAACATATGCGCGAAATTACTTACGTAGTGCTGTCACTGACAGTTTGGGATCTGGAACCACCCAGCCAACCCAATTCCCTTCCAATCCCAGCAAAAGCAAGAGCCCAAAACCCCACAAAAGCTTGTAAAACAATGGCTGCATATATGCAGAAGACACATTCACTTTTTAATACGGCACCACACACCCCACCCACGCACAGTTGCGAATATTTTTATTGTTTATGTAGTTAAATAATTGAACCACCCACGGCCACACACAATCATTGGCAAATTAAAACGATTTTTACATACATTCTTTTGTTTTGCTTTATACTATATTATGAAAGGCCCGCAGCTAATTGTTTTTTTTTTGTACAAATTGGAAATAACTAAAGGAATAACTCAAAAACATTTGCCAGTAATATAGACATGTTGAGAGTTAATTAAAGGGCTATTATATGGGCTTAGGCAGCTTGATTGAACACACAAATTTGTATCTACAGGGCTTTCACTTTCAACAGTTACCAAATAAGTCTTAGTTCCTTATTAATAAATCTTTATACGGGAAAATGTAATTAAGTAAGGCCACACATTTATTGTTATGGTAGGTTAAAGAGAGCCGCTTACTAACCAGACTGAGGACGACCCATTTAAACCTTATTCTGATTTCAATTCTTCACCCATCCTAGCCATAAACAAACGCTCGAATTATCCCTGACAGTTCGAATAAAGAACAATTTTCCGCTTAGCTCTGCAGTTCACTCAATAGAACTCAATCATGCCAGACCCTTGAAAACGAATTTCTCCTTGCCTTTTGCACACCTTTCACTTTTTCTTACAAGTCATTAATCACTGTTGTTGAAGGGTGGACGAACAAAAAATTAAAAAATTACTCAAAGAACCAGATAAAAAATTGTAAAAGAATGCCCCTTCCTAAGTAGGTCGCTTCAATTAATGCGATTAAGATAGTCAAGTAAAATCGAAAACAATCCCTATAAGAACTGTATAAGGTGCATATATAAAAGGACGAAAATTAAGGCTTTTGTTAGAGATAATCACAGAAGAATCCACTGACGGCTAAGGAAGTAAATGAAGTACATTTCTATAATAGAAATATATTACCAAAATAGCAAAAAATACATATAGAACCCTCTTGCCATTTAGTATCTACCTAAAATCACTGCCTGTAATCTCTGCCCAGGATGAGGCTTGCCAGCCAGGAAAAACATAAATTTCTGGGCAAAATGTTCAGCAGCCACCAATTAATTCAAAATTTATAGCCAGTCAAGCACTAAGGCATCATTGTCCACTGCCCGGAACATTCATCGTGTCTGGCTAATGTGAGCCCAATGGCGGTGGGCTGGTAGGTGGGGCTATGGGGATATGGGGATATGGGGAGATGATTCCAATTTTACTGCTAAAAGGGGGTTGGCAAGGGGGACCGCAACAAGGGACCGCATTAGCCGCAATGGCCGTGTGTGACAGCTGGACGATGTCGCAGATGAGGAGTGCATGCCCGGCCCTGACTGTGTCATTTATGCATTGCCGACTGATTGATTTGGCACACTCTGGAGCTCTCGGCTTGGGGGAGCCAAGTATATGTTCGACCAATGTTCCTGCGGCCGACAGCCACTCCTGTCTGAAGTGTTGATCACTGCACTCAGAAAAGCGTTTGCAATCTGTCAACGTTTTATAAACGATGTTAAAAGACCCTAAAACGTCGCCTTAAAAGTGAATCATAGAGGAGGTTCCGATTTTTGCTTAAACACAATTTCCTTTACAAAATCATATAAGCCAAGTATACTATGCAAGTGAGATTTTTCTAGAATTGCTTAGTAACGCTTTCTTCTGATCCGAGATATCAGCGATAAAACACAAATAAATATTGGCAAGGCAACAAGTTTCTGGAAAATTGGGCTGCTATGGTAGCTATTAGAATATTCAATTCTCACGATTCACTTTATAAATCGCTGGGCAGTATTATTCAGCGTGTCACAGAAATATTGTCCAATCAAATTCGGAACAGACGTCCATAAAAATTCCAAACAAATTCTGTTGGAAAACAACCCAACGTGTGTTCAATTAAATGCGATATATGTGTATGTAGGTTTTGCAGATCCCAGGACATAGACAATCGAAAAAAATAAATACAAAGAAATATAAAAGAATATCTATTTAAAAAAAAAGAACAAAGGTAAGACGCGTCTACTACAAATTAATAGATTGTCACCTACTGTGTTTGCCGTATGATTTAAGCTATATGATATAATCATTTTAATGTTTCTTAATGACACATACAGTTTAAATGGCAACCTCTCTTATCGTTTTGCAAGCAAGGATCATTTCAATTTGGCACATTTAGGCAGAGCATTCATTGGAGTAAACACGGTGGGAAAAAGCAGTAAATGGAGCTCTAAACACAGTTCAAATGACAGTGAAAATCTTTTTGCAAATCCTCTAGGCAACAATTACACATTTGGTTGTAGCCCGGACCGAGCTGCTCTGTGCTGGCATTAATGCGGTTAGGTTGTGTAACCTTCATCTCAGTCGCTTGAGAATGGCCGACTATCCCCCCATGGTGCCCCCCAAAGTGCCAAAAAGTCTAAAAAAGGAAATTCGTTTTTTCAGTTTCGGGTAGCTGTTGTTTTTGGTCCTGTGGCATGGCATCCTCTGCATGACAACTTCACTCTGTTGCTCCATTTGCAACATTTATGGGATTTCGTATGCCGTTGTCAGTGTGTATCGTGTGTATCTGTGTGTGGTTATGTGTGCGAGAGGTCATTTTATTGTTTCCAGACAAAATGGTCAAATGGGAATTCGGCTTTTAGCTCTGCTTTTTTGCCGCTGCATGTGTAAGTAGCCGATAGATTTAGATTGAACTGTCGAACATGTTACTGGGGCCTATTCTACCGGCTTTGGCCCACACACAGCAGAAGGAAACTTTGCGAGATAGGCCAGTGGAACAAGAAGCCAGCCAAAACAATGCAAATGATTAGAATAATCGCCGTAGGTGTTTGACTTACCCGGACTTACCCGGCCCATAAATACAAATTTCAGTTTGCCGCAATAAAAGTTTTCATTTGCCCCTTTCGAACGTTTTTATGACTCTCAATTGACTTCTGAACCTAGTTTCATCCATCCCCATCATAGTCAATTTTATGGGCTCATTTTAAATGGAATCAAAGAGGGGTGGGAGTGATTTTGCGCATGTTTAAATTATTCATTGATAAATTCTCAATTATCTGAACTCGTCAGTTTTCGCGGTAGGAAACAAAAAGAACTGAATCTATAATGCTTATTTATGATATTTTTTTGCTGACAAAAGTGAAAAATGTTCATTCATTTGCATTATAGCATCGTCGGGAGTTTTTGCCCCGCTTCCTTTCGAGATGCTAATTTCTCGCGTGAAAATTTTTGGACACGTGTGCAAATTACTCTTTGTGGCTGGGTTGTTGGAAACAACCTTGTTTATGTGTCCAAAAGCGGAAATGCTACATTTGTTTTGGTTTCATGAATTTTGCAGGGAACAATTTGTCTAGCCAACACTGTTTCTCGCAAAAATGGCCCACAAATAAATCTTCTCAGTTTAAATGCCAGTTATAAGAGATTCTTTTTGAAAGCCAAGCCAATTTGGTAGTAAAATGGATTGGTCTGAGTGTTTTTGCACCCAGCAGCTAATTTTGTAAGTCCTTAAAAATTTTATTTCAATTTTTAACTCAAAAATATACAACTTTTATGTTTGAAGTTGATTTTGTCAACGAATATTGTCATTTAAAGCAAAAAGAACTTGAACTTTTATTGGTTACTCACCATGAGTTTAATATTTTTTACTTATTTTGTAAGTATTTATTTATGATCAAGAATTTCAGCTTAAGCTAGTTCGATTTAGGAGGGCCAAGAATTTTCTCGATTTCGCATAGTCTGTCCATTACCTGCTGATTTCTTGCCTTTTGGTCCTTGAGCTTTTCTCCAATGGCATCCAAGGTGGCGGCGATGGCCAGCAGAGAAACATCGGTGGTCTGAAGATCCCTCAGCAAAGGCGTAATCTTTGCCACTGGCACTAAACTGGGATCTGGAGATGATCTATCGGGGATTTCTTCTGACTGGACCTCTTCTACAGGTTTTTCGGCAGTTGTGGCTTCTACTTCAGTGGCAGTAACTGATTCTTCTGCTGCAATTGGTTCGTCAGCTGCTGGCTCTATTGATGCCGGAATAATTTCAACAGCAGCTGGTGTTTCAAGGGGCTCCACAACAACATCTTCACCCTTAGTTACCAGTACTTCTTCCGAAACTATAACTGCAGGTTCCGGAGCGGTAGCTATTGATTCCTCAACAACATTCGGTGCCGTTTCTGGAATCTCTGCTACAGGTACTTCCGGGGCAATAGTATCGGATGTCTCACTGACCTTAGTGATTTCTGGTTCAGCAGCTGGAACACTTTCAGCAGGAATTGGCTCTACGGATTCAACAGCATTAGGCGGTGGCTCAGTGATCGGCTCAGCAGAAGCTACAACTGGTTCAGGATTAGTTGGCTCAACTACCGCTGGTGGAATGGTTTCAATAACAACTTCGGCAACGGCAGAAGGTTCGCTGATAGTGGTGATTTCGGGCTCAAGGGCCGTTGCAGGAGTTTCGATTGGGACAGGATCCGGAATGTTCTCTGGTGCCGGAGCTGGAATCTCTGCAACAGTTTCTGGAATGGATGCTGGAATTTCTGCTGGTTCCTGGGTCGCAATGGGAGTCTCAACAGGCAAAGGTTCCACCGGGGTGGCTTCGATTGCTTTGGGTTCGGGTGTTGACACAGGAATGACATCTGACACAACAGCTGGTGGTAGAATATCCGGAGCGCTTCCGGATGATGGCTCTATAGGAGATTCCACAGGGGCCACGGAAACGACTTGAGATTCTGGAACGGCAGCTGGTGTTTCAACTGGTTCGGGAATCGTTGCAGCTGGAACTTCAATCGAAGTATCGGAAAATGCACCTGGTGGTGTAGATCCGGCAACAGCTCCTTCAGTTGGAAGCTCAACAGGCGGGATGACTTGCGACGGAATTTCAGCAGCAGCTTCTGTTGGTATCGAGGATATGGCAGCTTCGGTAGGTATCACCAGCGCAGCCACTGGTGGTGCAACATCGGGCGTCAACACGACGGGAGGCTCTGCAACTGGAGGCTCAGCAACAGCAGCGATCTCGGCAGCAACTACTGGTGCCTCTGCAACAGCAGGTGGATCAGCAACAGCAGGTGGCTCAGCAACAGGCGCCTCGGCAACGACTGGAGCAACAACTGCAGCAACTACTGGGGTCTCTGATACTGGTGTTGATACGGCAGCCACCGGCGGAGCAATGACAACTGGAGTCTCAACTGGAGTCTCAACTGGAGTCTCAGAAACTGCAACTGGTGGTGCAGCGACCACAGGAGCAACGACTTCCGGTGTTTCAGCAACGGGTAAAGTCTGTAAAGCCGGTGAGGGTGTTGCAGCAACTAGAGTTGCCGCTGGTGGCGCAACGGCCTCTGCTACTGTTGTAGCAATCGGAGTATCGGCAACAACAGCGATTGGCGGTGAGATCACAGGAGCGGCCACTGGAATCTCTGCAGCAGGGGCTTGTGTTGCCACTATGGGAGATGGAGATGCCGCAGGTGGGGCAACAACAGTTGGAACTTCAGTGACAGCAGGCGCTGGTGTAGGAGTCACAGGAGCCACGGCAACAGAGGGTGATACTATCACTGGAGCCTCAGCAACAGCAGCAGTTGTTGGAACAGTCGATGCAGTGATCACAGGAGCAACAGCCGCAGGAGTGTCGACAACGCTTGGAGTTTCTGTTACAGGTATGGGTGCTGAAGCCACTGGAGTCTCCACTGGTGGAGCTACGGCAGGCGGAATCTCAACAGCAGCAGCTGCTGGTGTGGAGACTACACGAGTAACCGCAACTGGTGTCACAGCGATCACAGGAGCCACGGCAACAGGTGCTGAGGCAGCAACAGCGGGCGACGCTACAGCAGCAGCAGGAGTCTCAGCAACAGGTACAGGTGGTTCAGCAATCACAGCAGCAACAACTGGAGCTGGTGTGGCAACAACTGGAGTTGCCACGACTGGGGCGGCAACAACAGGTTCTGGGGCTGCAGAAATGACAGGAACGGGAGCAGGAGCAGCAGCAGGAGCTGGCGAAACAACGACGGGAACGATAGAAATTGGAGCAGGAGCAGTAACTGCTGCTGGTTGCACACTAGCAACGGTAGGAGCAGCAGCAATAGGTGCTGCCACAATCGGTGTTGCCGGTGAAGGAGCCACTGCCGCAGGATTGGCCACTGTCGTCGGAGCAGCCACTGCTGTTGGAGCCACGGGCGTGGCCACTGGGGCAGAAACTGCTGCTGGCGAAGCCTCTGGTTCCATTTCTACCTTTTTTTTTATACCTCCAATCTGTTCGCCCTTTTGATGAGCCCTTCACTTATCCAGTGTTTAGTTAAACAAGAATAGTTTCATGGCCAGCCCTTCAAGGTCAGTAGATAGCTAAAACAAAGGAATGAAAACGTAAAAAACAAGAGATATGAGAAACATGAGGCTAGGGCCTTGAAAGAGGCCATTGCCTCTAATAACATGGCGATCGATGGTGGAGGAGGAGGAAAATATGTCAACACCTAGACAACAAGCGAAATAATTTTCTCTTTCTGTTTTAAGCTTCTAAAGAAATCGATTCATTTTAATTTTTTCTGGAGCCGCCCATGCGGACTCAATTGAATGTGGTTTCAATTTTTGCTGTTATACTTTGACAAAATAAATACAAAAAAGGAAAATATTGTTTTATATATTGCGAACTATTGAGTGTGAAAAACTTTTCAACAAGGTCCGTATCAACTTAATAGTTTCGGCAGTGTCAAAATGAATCGTTTGATATTGAAATGACCCTCCAGTACAAAAACAGAATACCGAGGTTTTTAAAACTAAACTAAAAGTTAAAGGCTTTGAATGTATTTTCTTTTATACTGTCTTTAGTTGAGTTTAAGGACAATATTTTTTGGGTACACGTGCAGTTATTTATATTTAAATGTTGCTGTTTAAATAATTATCTATACTTATTAAAGGTGGCAGTTAAAAGCTTCACTATTTATTTATAAGATGAAATTGTGAGGCCTTTAGCAGGCTTTAACTCATTCCTTGTTATGTTAATTATTGCGAAACCATTGGTTTATTTTACTTTATGCTGCCAATAACCCGATTTTTTCCTGATCAAGCTGCCTGTTGGTTTAGTCCTTGAAAATAACCTTCCATCCTTTTTGCACCTTTTTAATAATACTAACCGAAATGTTTAATATTTTTCAACAGCGACCGACTACTCGTTGGGAAAACTAGTGGCTAACTGGCCATTTGACTCAGTTTTCTTGCGCATTTTTACCTCTTTTCATTAGTTTACCCTCGTTCAGAAGTCTGACAACTGCCCATTGAGTGCAAAAACTATACGCATAGTTTCAAGTGCCTTCGTTTAGGTTTTAAAGTGCTTAGTCGCTGACCTTAGCCAGCATTTCATTTTTTCCGGCTCGCACGAGAAAACATTTGGGGTGCGCTTAAAAGTATGCTACATGCGTGCGAATATCTCTTGCTTAAGACATTTTCCTCTATTGTATTATCGATTCCATTCGCATCTTGCCAAATGCATTAAATTCATCTAAGAATCCCTTTCAAGGATTTGTTTTTGCTTCATTGCATATCGCTTACCACTCGCTTTGTCAGCTACACTCGCAGACACATAACTGGTTATTTACACAATACTGATTACTTTGCCGTATTTGCAATGTAGTTGTCAACGAAATGCGACAAGTCCGCTCCCCCTCCTCCTCCTCGTTCTCCTCGTCCACTTCCTCCCAGCGCCGGTCCGCCATTGAATGTCTGATGCAATGACAGTTGACAAACTGCCACTACGTAGCCGTTGGATCGGAACACATTAGCTCGTTGGAAATGTAATCGCAGAGAACTAAGAAATAAATCTTTCAATTTTTCGAGTGAGTGCGGGGGGAGGGGGGAGCTGGAAGTGCAGCCGAATGTAAAGCAATCCGCAGAGGCAGCCGGCAGTTGCACATGCCGCCCGCTGGAGCAAGTGTAATGTGATCTGCGTACAATTTGCAGCCGTCGTTTAAAAAAGTCCAACACCTCGCCGCACCCCGCAATCACTGCTGGCCGGGTACCGAGCACACTTGAGACTTTTGCAAATAGTTTTTCCACATATGAACAGAAAGAATTTCTTTCACAAAATAAAAAGATTGCCAGCGAAAAGAAAAGAAACACATGTATATATATATATATATATGTATGAATAGAGGAGATGGGAAAACGCTTATATGGAAATGATTTCACTGGAGAAGTGGAAGAACGAACGGAGTAGTTGTGAAGATTGAATTGGCAGTTCAATTTCACGTATTATTGACATTTAAGCGTAAGCATTTGAATATAAACTGAACCCGGCTCAGGGATTGAATGGCTGGAAGGCCGAGAGCAGGAGCGAGTCCTTTCACAGGATGCACAGACATTGGCTGCCTATTATTTTCTGTGCGATAAATCAATCGCATGAAGCAAAATGCAGAGAAAATACCAAGATAAGTGGAAATGAAATTACATCAAGCATACAAATTGTATTTATACTTTATTCTATCCCCTGCCGCATCACTGCGCTCGACAATTGATCTAAGAAGAAGGAATTTGCGTAGCATAATAAAAATGTATATTTTAGATTTACTGAGGAACTGGTGGTACATAAATAATCCAAATGACAATTTGATCTCTGTTAAATTTTCTACAGTGATCTATAGTTTAAACGGATAATAGCGGACAACTTTGAAGCTGTTAATAAAATTTAGAAAGCCATAAATTTCGACTAGCAATCCAAGGTGAACTAAACTCAACAACAAAGGAATGGTTTATTTAATCTATAGTTTTGTAATTTTCTAGGTAGTCTATTTTTGTTCAATTAATCATTTTTTTCACTTAAGCTAATAATAAAATAGACACCACCAATCACTTATCACATAATAAAATATGCGATATTTTATCTTTAAAGCCTTTTTTTTCTATATACAAATGCAATCAAAGTTGTTGGAAACAGTAGTTCTAATTTCTTTCCACAAAACAATACATTATTTTACAATGTTTGAGTCCCCATGCCAATCGGCATAGTACAAATTGAACAGCTCTGGAAAATATTAGTTTTTAAAACTATTGACATTGCATTTCCGCCACTTTTCACAGGTGAGAGGATCGACTACAAAAAACGCAAATCAGTGCAACACATAAACCTAATTGCCGTCATTGTGCACGCACTCCGGGCGTGCTGAAAGTTGAGTCCGATTGCGAGTGCGATTGGAAAACCCAAATACAAATATGAATACAAATGCGGGGCGGGAATCGAAATTGCGAAATGTGGCAAGAGGAAAGTGGCAGGCGGCAGGCAGCAGGCGGCATCGCAGCTCAAGCTTCAATCCGGGCCCGCTTCCGGGTGTATTTTGCTAAATTGCAAATATTTCTCAATTCGCATGCATCAGCAGAGAATGCAATGCAAACAATTTTCACCCAGCGGCCACAATAAAAAGGGAAACCCCCGGAGAACGCAACAAAAAAATAAAAGAACCCAAAAACACCCACACGCAGGAGGGCACACAAAGTGCTGGCTTGGCACAAAAAAAAATTCGCAAAAATCGGCGCCGTATGGCAACCCTGGTCGCTGTGTGGCTGCTGCAACTATGGCGCAATTTATTTCCAGTTTGATTGGTTTTTTCGTGCTTAATTGCACTTGGATTGTGGGAGGGGCGGGCGGTGGGGGCTCTGACCATCCAATTGGGATCGGTGCGGGTGTGGGTGGTGGTGGTTTGCTGCCCCAATTGGTTGAAAGGTCGCGCTCATCACGTGCCTTAATAATTTATTCAAATTAACACGCGTCAACCCGCTTTTCTGCTTCCCTGCGTTAGTGTATGTTACTACGTTTATGCGAAGTTCTTATTGCAAAATCAGTTTTGTTTCCAAAATAACCCTTTTCTACAAACTCTGACTGATTTAAACCGGGCCACCCCAAATCAAATTTATGACAAATAGTCAATCGATCAGAATGAAACTCTTTAAAATATTTATTTAAAATCTTTTTAAATGAGTGTTCCAAATTGACAATTTAAAATTGTAGATAAATGTCTTATTATTGTTATTATTCTTAAAGTTTGTTGCATAAACATAACACGAGTCAGTGACTGTGTCAAACTGCGCTCGGTTAATGGCCAACACTTTGTGGTCAGAGCAAACCGGAAAAACTGGCAGGCAAATGCAAAATATTGCACACAAGCACCCACTTACGGTCGCCCCTTTTCGCTTTCCACTCCATTTTTACTCCTCCTCGGGAAACTGTGAGTGTGTAAATTACAGCTACATATTTAATGCATTTTTATTTACATTTACATGGCAGCGCAAACACAGCCCAGTTGAGCGGGGAAATGTCCTGGCATGACACGAACTTTTGACACTTGACAATTTGATTGTTTTTAAGGCAAAGTGTTAAATTATGCAAAGCACATAACAAACACAAATCGAAAAGCACGCACGTACACTGTATCAACAACGACGGCAGGGAAAACATTTAATTTTAAAAACAAAACTTCAAAACTGAACAACAATTTGCATCAATTAAATTTTGAGGAATACTTCAACAACTTGAATCATTTTTCAAGACTTAGTGTAGTGGGTCAAAATCCACTTGACACTTTATGCACTTAGATTTAAGTGTTTAATTTGGTTATCTCTCTTATATGAGTTTAAATTGCAGATGGTCACAACTTAAGCAGAGGCTTTTATTACAAAATTATTTAATAAATTCATTAATTCATTAAAATTTCCAATAGCCAAAAAGCCAGATAAATTTAACTCATAAAATTTATGATAGTCAAGTGTGCAAAACAATTTATTTGCTATTATTGTTTCAATAGACTTTTGCTTTGAATGAGTACGTATGTAAATTAAGATTGACAAAGTTTGTGAAGCATAAACTTTTTGGCAGTTTAATAACTAAATATTAAGTGGTCAAGATCTTAAATTTTTAAAAATATCTACCCAAAAATTATATAATTAGCTGCATTGTGCAGTTATTCAAGAGCACAAAATTAACACCCCAATGAAATTCCCTACGTCCTTAGTTTTCGCAGGCTTGCAGACTTTTCTCACAGATATAGCCCTGGCAAGCCGTTTAAAAAATTCAAATGAATTATACATTAAATGAACAATATTTACTACGTAATTGCAACTAATGTAGCAAGTTAAATGGCAGTAAACTAATTACGATCCCAGGGTCTGGTTCAACATAATATTCATTGCATTTTTTCAGCCTTTTCCAAGACTCCTCCCCTGCTCCTTCCCGGTTTTCCGCT